TCATTGAATCATAATCGAGTCATTGAACAGAGATCATTGAGTCATTGAACAGAGATCACTGAACCTTGGCTGAGGAGTCGCAGAGCTCCGGGAAATGTTATTGATGGAATCAAAGGCAGTTGCCAAAAGGATCGGGTTGATCAAGTTATGTTGTTAATTATCTAGGGGCTGCTTTTCAGTTGTTGAGCTAATTGTATGACTTTTTGATTCTCAGAATTGGTTGTTACAAGTCTGGGCACAGCAGGTAGTGGGACTAGATGCTAGCTCATTTCAGACGCCTTAGGGTGAAGAGGTCCCATTTTTTGCTGTTAGCGCAGAGAGTTTCTGAACTTTGAGAATTTACCTGATGGTTTATCCATTGGAAGGGACACTGGAGCCGGTTTCCAGCAGGTGCAGCTCCCCACCAATAGAAAGGAGCCATCGGAACCTCGTCGATTTCTACCCTCTGGGGCTCTTACAAGTTACCACCCAAGGGGTAGAGGACCTGGCCCTGAACGATGATTGAATTAAAAAAAATAAAAAAACAAAAAAAAAAGCTTGAATATGAGCTGGGTCAAAAAGCATGGGTAAGGAACTGGGTGACCTGGGGGCCAAGTCCCACTAGCAGCATTGAGTGTCCTCGACGCCTGAATCTCGTCTTGTTTGTGGAGATGTGCAAAAATGGCGTTGAGGTTCGTCAACGGCAAGTCTCCACATACACGTCCACATTCAGGAGTTGAGGATACTCAACGCTGATAATGGGACTTGGCCCCGGGAGGGGTGAGAAGAATTACACGGCCTATCATATGGTGAAGGCAGACAGATGGGCGGCTATTACACGAATGGTTACTCCAGAGCATCACTGCATCAGCAAAGCCATCGGCCTTACCTACGCTTCTCAGACTACCTTCTTTCACCGAATACAACGTACGGTCATTATAGCTGTACTTGGGGTGTCTTTCAGACTAAATACAGCTATAATGACCGTACGTTGTATTCGGGGGAAGAAGGTACTTTTTGAAGTTTTTGTGACCCCTTTTCACTCGGTCTT